CCCCAGAGGTCATGCCCTCCCGGGTAAAGACCCATACTTCCCAGAAGTAGAACCGCTGGCATTTCTGTATAAATAAATTAAAAAACATTGTTTTAAAGGTATTATTTAATTGACTAGTTCATTGAGATAACTGCTTCTATTAAGCTCTGACCTATATCCATCATAATTAATACAAATGAAGCCTGGAATTAAGCTACTGTATATAATATGCATTTAACTTTAGGAGTTGAATACTAAAGGGAAAAAAAAATATATATTATATATATATATATATATATATATTTTTTTTTATATTTTTTTTTTTTTTTCTGTCAGAGCATAAAATTAACGCAAGTATAAAAAAGCCCACAAAACTCCCCCCTTTAGAAATATAAACCACCACTTTCAACATAAACTAACGTAGAAAGTTGCAAAAGGTGTTGCAAAAATCCACCAAAGTCTGTCATAGATCCAGCAAGGATGTTATTTACATTAATGATGGTATGAATCTGTAAGGATAAAATAATTACATATGAATGAATTTGTTAGATAATTTAGGTTTGCAGGGGTGTTAGAAAAACTGTTGTGATTCCATCCTGAAAACCAAATAAGATCTGATGAGAAACATGAAGAAGTAAGGAATAAAGATGAGGACAGGATGCAGCTCACCGTTACCACAGCGACTGGCTTCAGAAACGACAGCTGCCGTCTGCTTCTCATTGCTGATCCAACAAATACATGTAGGATCATATGCATGTGTGCAGGTTTAGTAATGGCATGTTTGCTTGGTTTAAATTAAATCGTAGGTTTTGAGGCTCAAAGCCCATTTCAATAATCAGAAAAATCCAATTAAAGATATATATCAGGAAAAATAAACCTTATTAGATTCTTATGTATCTGTGACAAAAAAGTGACTAAGTCACCTTTTAAAAGACTTTTCTCTGAGCTGGAAAATGTAAAATACTCTGCTTGGAATATTAGAGCAGAAAAGGGTTGTTGTTTTTTTTTTCCAAAAACTTCCATTGTTTTAATTGTAGTGAAGAAGCTTTGGGCACATCCCAGATCTCCACCAAACATAAAGGCCATTTGGATGAAAAATGTTTGCCAGACGAGACAGTTTCCTCTTTAAGGCAAAGCCAAGCTTCTTCCCAGTGATGCAGAGCTGCAAAGATCTCTCTTAGCTCATAGTTTGTCTGTGTTCCAACCCTTCCCTGTGGTCAGGAGAAATTACCCATGACCCAAAGAAAGAGATCCTGGTTACAGGCAACTGAAAGGACTTTCCTCTGACGGCTGGGCTTGGTCTTAGAAATAAAGTCTATCCAGTGAGAGCTCACCACATTATCTCCTTCACCTCAAGTGATCTAAGTCTTTTATATCAGATCAAAAACATCCAGCTCATCTTAAAAAACCTGCTGGGATTCAGTTTCTCTCATTAAAACTCACAAATTCACAAGTGAAACATTTTCACAGCAATGTTGGGTGATGGAAAATAAATGAAAGCTATAAGTAGGGATGGATTGGCAGCTACCTTTATGGCTGATAGCCTTCTCTTCACCTAAAATTTTACTCTCCGATACATCCTCTCTTAATCAGCAACTCTTTCCACCTGTCAATCAGTTTTCTCTTTTTCTTTTCCCACCTTCACTTCCTTCCTCCTGATTCTCTGACTTTCTTCTTTAGGGATTAGACGATGCTGAGCAATGAACATATCGCTGCACCAATGTGTGCGGACTTCTGTTTAGTCTGATAATAGGGATTGGGAGCACACGTCTCAGCTTTCAGGAGACGTCCACAGAGACTTCATTAACTCTACCCTGGAAACAAGAGTCACGTGACGCCCCACTCTCTACAAGTTTGTTCACACCGCCTCACTCTATCTAATCCTGAACACAATAGCAGCAGGTTTTTATCATAAACCATGTGCAAAAGCAAGAAGCTCTCTGGAAAAAAAAAACAGGAGAAGGAAGCTTTATGGCGAGGTTTAAGCATTAATGTTTTCCACAGGAGAAAGATAGATGCAGAGTTTGAGAGTTATAAATTATTTTTTAACTTCTATGCTTTGGTTCAATTGCTCCTTTAGAGCTGCTGGTTCAAAAGGTCCTCTCTAGCACCTCCTTACTCCCAAAATTGAAGAAATTTATTTCTGTATAAGGCTTTTGTTTCTATGTAATAAATCAATTAATAAAAAAGCAATTAAACGTAGGAATTATAACACAAAAAAATTTGTTGTGGAGCATTTTTTACCCTACCCCCAACTACAGCTTAAATTGTTAAAGTCTGGCTAACAAAACCTTGGTTTAAGGCAGGACATATAGCTGAGATGAAAATAAGAGCTGCCAAGCCCACAGTTGAACTAAAATAAGCATGCCAGCACAGTACATCAGAATTCACAATTTCATTTTTGATACAGTGACTGGCTAAACCTACAATTTGGTAGGAGGTCACAAGGTGATGCTTCACCCAATCAGCCATAGATGCCACGGCAGCAGTGGACAGAATGATGCTTTGGAGAAGTGTGTCCAAGAGAGTTTTATTCATATCCAGACGTGGGGCTATAACGATGAGGCCTGTACCAAGATCTACCAGTATACCCGATTAAAAAAATTAAATTAATTAGCCACTGTTGAACCACTTAGGGCAGCAGTGGGACAGTTGTGAGAGAAATATTACAGTAAACTAAAAAAAATTAACAAAAAGTCCGGCAGAAACTGGTCTAAATAACAGATAGAGACACACTTGT